ACGTCCTGCCCCTTTCAGACGAGTTTGGGACGCAGACGTGTTGGTGTATGTAACAGCCCCCATTATTACTCTGCATGTCCTGCAGTTCTCCCCACGTTTGATCGCGAGCTGAAGTTAAAACGGACTCACTTCATGAATTTTTAGAACTCATTTACATGATGACTCAGAACTGTGGCAAACTTCCAGTTTACAGTTGCTACGTAGCGACGCTTGAGAGACTGTGCGGCTCTCAGAGAGTCAATGACGATATATCTGGTAAATCCCATATACATAGGGAGTCAGCGGGAGGGTAAACGTTGAATGAAATGTCTTTAGGAGCTGGCTGTAGGGACTCAGAAGGAGTTCAGACACGCCGAGCAGTAAAGTCGAAAGGAAAATCTGGCACAGTGCGACCGAGTGCCGGGGCGCACTGTGTGTAGCTTTAACCCAGGAGGATTAAAAAAAGGAAAAACAGACAAAGCATAATGGAAGACCTGTAAAGTCGCATGCTGTAACCTCGGATTGAGTTTGCTTTTTTCCTGAATGGGAATTAATTCATAGAAATCTTAAGTGTGTTGTTCAAGTTAGGTTACCGCGGCTCCTAATTTGACAGCATTTTCTCCTCCCCGGTTTTGTATTAGGCAAGATCAAAGAGGCGAGAGGGAGCGGAGAATTAAGTTTGTTAGAGAAAATGAATAAGAAAAGAAGTGCAGACATGCTTGGTGCAAGTCAAGATGAAGCCATCACTAAATCATTGGCCTACTTAATAACAAAGAAGATGATGCCCTTCAGAACTGCAGAGAGGCCAGGCTTCAAAGAACTCATGAAAATAGTTGCTTTATAATTGTTTCACTGGCTGCTTCTTTTCTTTTATTTTTTTTTTATTACGGAGCTTTATTAGGCTTTTGCTTCGCACCTCACTCCCCACAGCATATGTCTATAAGTCTTTAAGTTAATGGTAATTAAAATCTTGATTGGATTTTTCTTGATTTCCCTAGAAATAGTTATAATGACGATTTATTTTTATCATATTTTATTTAACGAAATTGTAAAGATACTTAATTCATAATGCAGTCATGTGTAATAAATGAGAACATACGTTCCGATTAAGCTGGTTTGTCAGATTAAAAGCATCTTTTTAAAAAAAAAAAAATTAGACCGCATTTTTGTATTAAAAAGGTTTTTTTATTGGTCTGCTCTCATATTCTAATCTTAAACATCACAGTTTCCTTGCTGTAGGCAGAAGTTGCTGAAATGTTCATGTGTGTCTCTGGGTAATGTTTTATCAGTGATGGAGTTGAACAAACTTCACATCATTTTTAAAAAATATATAAATATATATTTATAGTTTGACTGGTGCTTATTTGAATAAAACACAAAGTGACAGTCGTCTCAAACTGAATGGACCTGGTGACTAGTCCATTCATGTTAAATAAAGACTTTTGAGTTTTCTTCTTTCTTTTCAAGGCCAATAATACTGAGGTATATGCGGCAAGGTGCTAAATGAGTGGGAGCCCACGTCTGAGTATCCCTTTCATTTCAGATCTGTTCCTGAACAGCAGAGTGACTTTCTGCTTCCTTTTCCAGTCTACAACGTCAATTATCTATTCAGAAATCCTGTCCTATCGCGATTCCTTCACTGAGCAACGTTCCCTCTGGAATTCCTTGAACAATAAAATGAAAAAATAAAAATGAGCAAGCAGAACACTTTTTTAAAAATCATTTTAAGAACTTCTGTTTGTGGTTCGAGAAAAAATAGTTGGTCCAAATAGCTTCCATTGTTTGGATCGGCACAAGTTTAGAGCGATAAAACTTCAGAGAAGAAAAGAACAAACAGCAGGCGCAAAACAGGTGCAAAAAAATCAGGGAGATTACGTTGGTTTTTCAGTCCCCCCTTCAGTGTCTTGGCTTATTTATTTATTTTTTTAAAATAATTCTTAAAGGTTTTTAATGTTACCGCTTGTTTCAGTGCATCAATTCACCATCAAATCTTTTCCTGGGCACACGTGGCAAAACCGAATTAGAAACGCTCAGAAAAATTGTCACTTATCACGAATTACACCTCACTAGTGTCACCTTGGCGTCAGTGTCTTCACCTGTCACTTGTTTATCCAAAAGTACCTCCCGACACCGCAGACGCCAAGCCTCACCCACACATGTTCTCACCCCTCAGTACTTTGTCTGCGACTACATCAACAGCCTACAGCCATGCTTACCAGGCATTTCCACCAGGAAGCAGAATCCCTTCTTCCCTGAGCTCACCTGACAGCAAAAGGAAGAAAAGCTTGGTGGAAAACTTTTCAGAACATAAGGGGTGCTGCAGAACTTTGAGGATAAAAAAGCACACCAGGAGATAAAGTAAAAAAAAAAAAAGGGTAGGTGGCTTAAAAAAAGGAAAAAAGGGGGATTTCATTTGCAGGGTTTTTTTTTTTTGGGTTGTGTTGGTCTGTGTGGATAGGGAAGAGAGAAGAGGGGCGGGGGACACGACGAGGCAGCAGGGGGAGGTGGAGGTGGAGCGTGGGGAAGCTCTCAATGCCTCTTCCAGGGCCGAGTCGTCGCTCGGTTTCAAACGAACTCATTTATTCTGTTTTGCTGGCTTTACCTTTAACTACAACAAAAGGCCGTTTACCGTTCCGCCTCCGTGAGCGCTCGGCTTCAAGGTTTGTCTACCATCTGGGTCTGTCCTGTGGCATCGCTCCTCTTTACTTCACACTCACCATTAATCTAGTTCAAACCTTACTACCATCCCCTGCTGAAAGTAGAGGATAGTAGTAGGAATTAAGCAATAACTAAGCTATTAATGATCGCTAATTAATATGTTAGTAATTACCAATTAATAAGCTATCAGCGAATTGCAAAATAGCATTTAATTGTTAAACTCTTATGCAGTGTGCAGGACTTTGCTGATGTATTCACTTTCCCACAAATTATGTTTCAGCCTCAAACCTCAATGTAATTTATTGGTATTTTATGAGCTTAACAGTGAAGCAGAAGGGAAATGACAAATGTTGTCCAACTGTATTCATCCCCTTTTACTGTCATACAACTGAAATGTAGGCCAGAACTGAGGAGAGTCCAAAAGTGTGCAGCCAAACGAGTAGAAATAGAGCAGCTATGAGAAGGCCTCAAAGGTTCGTTAGAGAACATTTGGGAACAAATAGTGTCATGAAGACTAAGGAACATATGATCAGGGACAATACCTGGACTGTTAAATATCATCATGAAGACATGCAACCAGACCAAAAGGTGTTTGGAAAAACGTCACGAGAACATCATGACTGCAGTGTAACACAGTAGTGGAAGCAACATCCTGTGGGAATCCTTTCCTTCATAGTAGACAAGCTACAAAAGCCCTGAGAGTGGAGTAGTTTTAAGCTCATTATGTGTTAGAATACCCTAGTCTAACTTTGGGCCTAGTCAAAGTCCAGACCTAAACATCATTAAGAATAAGTGGCAGGCAGTGAGTTGCTTTTTCACTCTTGACCGATCTCAAGACATTTGAGAAAGATTTAGCAAAGATGTGAGTCTTTATATAGGACGAAGTGGCGTTCTGCACTTTTAGCTGTAATTTTCTATATGAGCTTGTATTTGTAGGATAACTGACTTTTTTGTTATGTTACCCTTTCATAACTCTTTGTGTTATTCTGTTACACAAAATCCCAATGGATACATTAAAGTTTGCGATCGCAACAGGACAGCATATGCTGAAAGGGTGTGAATACTCTTGCTGTATTTCAGTGAAATATGTTCAGACGTAATGCTTAAAGGATTGTTTTTGTGCCACAAATAGTTATGTCAAACCCTGGCAGGATAATAAATTGGCAGAGCACAGTTTTTAGGAACACAAAATCTCATTCTAGTTTTGGCCAAATATTTAATCTCTCCTCCTCTCCTTCCATGTGTCTCTGTTCCTTCCCTCCCTCTTTTTCTCGGAATAATGTGCCACTGGGAAGTAAGAGAAGAAGAAGAAGAAGAAGGAAAAAAAAAAACTCTGAGCACGGATTCCCACTCCTCCGCTCTTCTCGACTGCACGTCTGTGATGTCATAATCACTCACATCAAAGGCTGCGCGCTCAACACGGCGACTGTCAGCTTCCCTGGAGGCGTCATTAAAAACGAACAGTGCAAACCAAGCTGGGCCTGACAGAAATGCATCAAAACTTCCCAACGCTCGCCGGCGCGTGCGCCGAGCCACGCCACGCAGGCATTCAGGTGTGTGCGTGTGCAATTAAAAAAAAAAAGAAAAGGAAAAGAAGAACAAACTTGCACACGCACACATACCCACGCAACTGTGAAATTCCCCCCCTGCTACCCCCAAAATCATTTATGCACTAAAGAAAACGCTCACACTGCACAAGATCCCTGAAACTCACATGCAGAATCTTCTGATGAATGAACTGGAGCTTCTCCTCCATCTCAGCACCAGAACTCTGTCTTTATATCATGTATGAATAAGAGCTCGACATTCAAAAAGAGCATGGCATGCACGCAGCTGCACTGTACATGTGACTAATAACATCCACAGCGCCGCCGTGACGCAAGCGTGCATTCCACAGTGTACGCCACGGACCGAATTCAGAGCACGCACGTAAAGTGTAGAAAGAGCCCACATCCATCCGCCCACCCAGTTTTCATCCCTCGCTGTCTATCTCAGACGTTTGGCCCACACACTCGGGCGCAAGCACACAGCCATGCGCGTGCTCGTTTACACAAACTGGAGGGGGAGATATAAATAGTACGCGTATGATGTGATATTGTGTGGTTTCTCCCTATGGGTTTGTGTGTATGTGACTGTCAAAATGAAGAGAGAGAGAGAGAGAGAGAGAGAAAGGGGGGATGGGTGTGAGAAATGGGAGGGAAAGATGGGCTTTGCTTAGATTTGCCTCATAGTGAACCCCCCAATCAGAAAAAGAGATTCCAACTGGATTTGAAATAAATATAAGCTGCTGCATGCTTTAAAGACAAAAAACAAAAGTGTGTGTTTGTGTCAGATTGTAGCTGCTTTCTGTTTGTATGACTTACTCCTGGCAGGGTCTTCTGCTCATGCAATGCATTCTGGGCTTTCAGGGCTGACTCTCTGGCACAGTAGGTGAGGAAGGCACAGCCTAAAAAACACACACACACGCACGCACGCACACACGCACACACACACACACAGCAAAGGGAAGAAGCAGAGAGAGATGGTTATGTTTTACCTTAACTCGTCAGAAACATAAAAAGGAAAAAGTCTGTATTAGTCATTAAAAAATACTCAAATATGACACACACACACACACATACAAACACACCACAGAAAGCCTGCAGCTACAGCTCTGAAACTCTGTCCATACAGGGAATTCACTTTGTCTATGTCTGTGGGTGTTTTGTGCACAATGAACTACAATCTAATGACTGAATAAACAGAATGTTGTTTGCCCCTCCCCCTCCCCCCCCACACACATTTTACTGTGGAACAAATGGGAGCAAAAGAAGAAGAAGAAAAAAGAGACTGTGTGGACGTGTGACGATTTGTGTGCTCTGTTGTGTGAGAGCACCCATGCCAGAATCGACGCTTTTAATCTGACGAAGCTTTCTCCCTGGCAGTCTGAAATAGCAGTTATCCATTTGTCCATCGCACCCTCCTGGCTGCTGTGACAGGGATAGACAGCCTGACAGCTTCTCCCTCTCCCTCTCTTTCTCTCTCGCTCCGAGGCCCCCTCCTCCGCTCCTCCCTCCATTTTTCCGTCATCTCCCTGCTCCATATGCTCCGAGACTACCCACAATCCTCGGTTTTGTTAGCACCTGGGTTGACATGCGGGGGTGGAAAGAAGATGGAGATGCAGGAGGCACGAAAGACGACAAAGCCGCGGGGAACGTGTAGTGTTCCCTCGCCGCCGCCGCCGCCCCTCCCGCTCCCCGCCCCGCTGACAGAGACTGTCGGAGCTGACAACCTGTCAATCTGCAGATCAGGGCTAATGATTCATGTGTTTGACAGTTTAATAAAACACATACAAAAGCTGCTGCACAATAGGCAGCAGTGTTACAACACAGCTTCAGTTCATGTTGCATCAGCAGGTGTTTAGCTTGTTTACCCCTCCGACCTCACTTCCCTCCGCAGAACGTGTCCTCTTAATTAATTTAGTCTATTTTAGTCCAATCTAGTGGTGTTAAACATTAAAACACTGTGATATTCCTCATCAGCGCGAGAACTTACTGTCAACATGTGCACCTTAGCTAAATATAACCAGCTCCCAGTAAGAAGGTGACTGCTTTAAGGTTGTTGTATTTATGTTTGAGACTCTTATTTTGTAGTAAGAAAGGAAGCGGTTCTAGAGCTGCAGTGCTGGGTTGACGTTGAACAAAGACTTCTCATTTGGCTGGTCACCTGCTGCCTGCTGTCCTAATGACTTACTCAAAAACAAACTGAACATCTTTTCACAACTTCAAGAGCAGCATATTATATTCTGGGTTCCAAAAGGAAAGAAATGTGAGATTACTGCACAAGAGTCAGAACTGACATATTTTTTACTCTCAGACCAAATAAACAGTGGAAAACATATAGTTTTATCTCTGTCTAAAAAAGTCCAACATTAATAAGAGTGAACCTCTGACTCCCCCACTCCGTCCAGGGATTTGAGTCGTCGGTTTTGACTCACAGCTGTGCAAATTTAGATGCTTGAAAAGTATTTCAAGGAAGAACTACCATTTGTTGCATTTGTACTTTTTTATGTTACAGACTGGAAAAAGTATTATATTTTACTAATGTAGCAAAAGAAAGTTTTTGGACTTATTGACCAATTTTTATTTTTTCTTTCAAATGAAATAATTTATTTCCAGCCAGCTGAAGCAGATACAACTGACCATCCCATAATAACTTTAACAGGTGTATACTTTAGTCTAAAACCACTAGTTCCTAATGGAAAGAACCAGGGCCACTGTATTTCACCTCTAGTACGCCGTAAAACATACTTTGGGATATAAATGGAAAAACAGTAAAGTCTCTACTTTTACATGACATTCTGCTTATTTAAAGCGGTGAAATTTGACATGTTTTCGTTACATGCCTTCCTAGTTGATTACGTTTCATTTCGGCAGCCATGCCAGTTCAAGGCCTTGACCCGAGTTTCTGCCTGCAATTTAGGCAAAGTTTGTCTTCTGATGGGTGACTCCTGTATAAGTAGCTGTACTGATTGCGTCTCATGCGGCGCTCTCTGCGGGCGGCTCTTGCAGCAAAGAAGCTAAACATTTGTGTGGCAACATTTCCAGTAACGGCTTGGAGGAAGAAAGCGTGACAGAGTCAGGGATCATATGATTTGTACAAACTATGAGAACACAGCAGCTGGTTAAAACTGTTGACGCTGATGACTTCGAGGTCGGTGACAACTTCGGAGTTTGCCGTAGGTGCTAAGCTAACGGGCTATTTGAAAGCTTTTCTGATTCGTGCATTAGTTGACGAGATCTAGAATACTTACCAAGTCTTAACTAGACAATCCTACGCTGGCGTTTAGGACCAATTAGTGTTAGCCCAGCATAAAAACATTACATCAGGACATTTTGCAAAGCCTTTATTTGGCTTGTGAAAACAGATAATAAGCTTCCTTGATTTCCCCCCAAAGTATTGCTATAGTCTTCCTCCGTACATGACAAAAGGTTTGAATCGTTCTATTAAACCCCACTGCAAGCACCATCTTGTCACAAACCTCCTACTGCGCTAAACTGTGAAAACTCTTTAAAATATCTAAAAACGGCTATCAGCATGTTGCCTTTCTATATGATAAGTCTTCAGGTTTGATGCTTTTCAAAGGAATACATCTCTCAGTGAATAAAGAAGCAAGCATCAACCTTAAAACTACAGGAAAAAAACAACAACTCATGCTTAGGCTTTGACAGATTCTCTTTTTTTCATTTCTTTAACCAGACGTATCTGCAAGCAGGCTTCGGCAAACACCCTGCTGCCATGCAGCAAACACAAGCGCAAAGATACAAAAGAACCACAGTTTGCTCTGAAAACATCAAGGGCTAAACATTAGACGATTATCATAGACCTCTTCCCCCCAAAGACACAAACACAATGCAGTTTAAAGAAAGCAAGGCCTTCTAATAGCTTTTCCCATTTCGGCTTCACTTTGTTCTTTCTGAATACCCCTGGCTATTTATTGTTAAAAGTCTAGGACTATATACTGAATGTGGGAGCAGAATGCCTGCCATCCTCCATGCTCCATGTCTTTAACCCCGGGTCGTCCTGATGGTGGGACACCGGGGAGCGCTGCCTGTTGGTGTTTTTAATTAACGGCCCTCTCTCTCATTAGGCGGAGTGGGAGCCGGCCGCTGACAGCTCTGCTACCTTCTCGTCCTCTCAGGGCCTGTCGCGTTAATGCTACATGCTAGCGCCGTCCCAGAGGAAACACACACACACACAAAAGCCTGACACTCACTCACATGTTCGGGGTGCAGGCACCCACCGCAACCGATACATTCAACACGGAAAGCAGGAGCGAATCCGTCATTCCAGTCAAAGCAGCACCGCTGTGATCGTCCTCATTTAACCTGAATTTGCACTTTAAAAGTTGGAAGATGAATTTGAATTTCATGTCTAGTTATTGTGATTTAATTGAATAGACAAATCAAAGGAAACAAATAACTCTGAAATAGGAGGAAAATCATGTCTTTAATGACTTAATATCTTCCCCTTTACACTGATACTCTGAAATAAAATACAGTCCGCTAAACTGTCTAAGAGTGCAACATAACAAGCGCACCATGTGCAGAGGCTACAGCCCTCAACGTAGCTGCCCCCGATTTGACCCCTGGCTATTTGCTGCATGTCTTCCTCGTTTCTCCAGCTGCCCTCCTTCCTCACCAGCTGCTTATGAATAAAGGCCACTAGTGGCACAAGAATCATAAAGGATATTAACTTACAGTAATTAAAAATACAACCGTGTGCAATTTAATTCCAGTATGAACACGGCTGATCTGTGCACCACGCATGACACTGATCACAAGTCCAGTGTGAAACATGGCAGTGGCGGCGTTGTGCACTGGGGAAGCTTTCTGCTGCCATCTTGGAGCTGCTGGGAAGAAGAAGAAAACCAGGGCAGACAAGACAACGAATCGGCTAGCCATGAGCTTCAATTGAGCGGTTTAGAGCCCTGGAGTCCAAACGTTTTGTCAAGTTAACAGAATTCACAGGCCAAAAATATAACAAAAATATAATACAA